TGGCGTCAGAAAGAATAATTACACAGGTAAAAATGTTTTTATTTTGTTGAGTTAGAGTCAGAAATTATAAAATGCATCCAAATACTATTTTGATACTAGGCATAAAAAAGGTGTTTTTATAATAGTTTTAACGACAGTGAAATTATTATTAATTTTTTTTTAGTTATTAAGTCGCTTGAAAAAGACCTAACGGTTTTAACACAGAACACCGCGGCGTAGTATTTAGCCAGGAAGTTGCCGCCTTCTTCCTTACCAATGTTGTTTATTGGGCGAGAACCGGGATCGAACTTCGAACATCTAGGTTCTGAGCCACAACTCTAACCACTGCGTCACGTCTGCAAATCATTACTATTCAGTTTTAGATCCAAAATAACTTTTTCTTAGAATTTAAAAGACTTTTTAGTTTAAAATCTTTTAAAAGAATATCATATATACTTTTTTTAGTACAAATAATATTATACATTAATGACTTCAAACTTATACATTTTAGTATTAAAGCGAGCTAACAACTGCGCACTAAGCTGCTTTTATTTTTACTGCAACAATCTGCTCATTCAACTATTCATTTGACCATTTACTTTTCAACTCTAATTAAAAATTGGAAATTACAAATTTTAATAAATTAATTTTAGTAAACAGTTATTTTAAGGTAATAGTAAACTAAAAATCTAAAGTTTTTAAAATTTAAAAAAACTTTTTTTAGCTTTTTTTAATGCCATATCGGAATATTTAAATCAGATTGAAACCAATAGAAACCAATTGCGTCTTTTTGACTACTTATCTGCTCAAAATACCTTAAAAAAGTATTTTAGTGTGACTAACTTTACTAATTTGGAAATGGTTCAAAACGGTGGTAATGTAACTAATAGTATTCAGTATTTTTAAACATCATTCCTCGTTTTGAATTGTTGCGTTGAATTGAATAAAGTATATTAGCGTCCAAATTTGCACAGATTAGAAGCATTAATAAAATTAGGCCCATTAATAAAATTAGAAGCATTAATAAAATTAGACCGAATTTGAAATTATGCCTGCTGTTATTTTATTGTTAAAATATGTTAACTTGATAACAAATATGTAAATTTTAATTTTTGTATTTGTATTTTTTGCCTCAAAAAAGCATTTATTTTTAACTTGGATGAGCATTACATTACATTTTTTACCTAAAAAAAAAGCATTTTTTTAACTCAGATGAGTAAAGCATTTATTTTTAACTAGGATGATGATGGTGAGGACAAAGTTAAAGGAATTTTTCGTTTCAAGCCTCCAATCTTCGTAATTTTTCGCAAAGCCTCATTATTTTAGGCTTTTATTACAATTGAGGTAATTTTATTACCATCAAACTCCAAACATAAAAAATGTTTAAAGTTTGCTCTATGTCTGAAAGTTAGCTATATCAAACACCAAAAAAATTTTAATTGTGCAAAGATGGTTTTATCAATGAAAAATATTAAGAAACTAATAACATCTAAGCTTTAAGATCAAAAGAAACTGAAAAGCTACTAAAAAAACAGGAAGAAATCTTTACAAAAATAATGAATTCCAACTTAAAAATAATATCAGACACACAAGATAAACTTGAAAAAGAACATTGTTTCAATACATCCCGAGTTGAAATATTAGAAAAAGATTCTAGTGACATTAAAGATAGTAACTACTTGCAAGAGAAAAACATCCAGGAAATGTTTTCTCAACTTAATTTAAAAATCAATGAAGAAATAAAGACCTTTAAAAACCAGCTTGGAATTGCCGATGATGTAGTGGTTGAGCGAGCCCATCAAATAGGAAGAGTTAAAGACAAGGTACCAAGAACTATAGTCCCCAAACTCCTAAATTATAATGATAAATGCAAATTTTTAACATCTGTAAAAAAACATAAAGACACCGGAACTTTTATAAATAAAAATTATGCGGGAACATCGTAAAAAATTGTGGGAAGAAGTTAATGCATCGTAAAGAGGGTAAATATGCAGTAATCAAATTTGACAAAATATTTGCTAAAGATATGCATAAATAAAAAAACGTAATTGCGGAAATAAAAGGAGAATCTATAACTCTCACAGGAATGGCTGAAATTAGCGATTTTACTCATTAAACTCCAAGCTTTTAATTTTTCTAAAATGAAAACCTTTATAGATATAAATGTAGAAAAAGACCTTAGTTATTTTCATGATTTAAATAATGAATGCTTTTATTATTATCCTGGTGAAATAGAAGAATCTCTTATTAATTCTAATAACAGCGAACAAATTAAAATCCTTCATGTAAATATCAGAAGCATCAGCCACAACTTTGAAAAGCTTCTTTGCTTATTAGAAAAAACTAAAAATGTTTTTAATATTATCTGTTTATTTGAAACTTGGATAAGCACTTACGGTTCAAGTAATAACGCGAATTCTTATCTTCCCTATTTTGAGTTAATATCTCAAGAGAGAGATACAAATAAACGGGGTGGCGTTTATTTGTATGTTCTTAGTTACGTGAAGGAAACCATTGCGGATTACGTTAGGAATGGTTTAAGCGTTTCTGACGGCGAGAAAGAAATTTTAACTGTTGAAATCTTAAACAATGAATCTAAAAATCTATTACTAAGCTGCTGTCATCGACCACCTGAAGGTCTGAGCAAGAATTTGAACACGTTTTTTGAACAAAATGTTATCAAAGTAGGCATTAAAGAAAAAGAAAAAATTATTATTGGCGTTCTAAACACGAGTTTTTTTAACTACGAAAATGACTGTAAAATAAATTTTTTTTATGATTTAATATTTAAAATAGGAGCAATCCCCCTAATTAATAGTCCAACTGGAGTATCACCAAACTCAGCAACTCTCATTGATAACATTATTACAACTGATGTCTTCAATAACAATGTACAAAAAAATAAATAGAAATCAAATATATCTGATCATTTCTCAATATTTCTATCACTCAACTCAAATGCTAAAATTAAAACCAAAACTAATAATAAAATAAGTAAACGCATATATAATATGAATAATATTGAACAATTAGATAAACAATTATCACTGCTTCATTGGAAGCATACAAATTTTAATGACGACGCAAATAAAATTAATGAAAACATTTTATTCTGTCTATGATGCCAATTTTCATATCTGTGAAAAAACAATAAATCAAAAAAGCTAAACAACTCCAATATAACTAAGGAATTCTAAAAAATCATCTGAGATCAAACAAAAGCTATATTTAAATTACTTAAAAACATAAACACTTTTAGACGAAAAATTGTACAAAGATTACAAATATCTATTTGAAAAAACTCGTAAAAACTTAAAAAAGAATTACTACTCAAAATTAATTGAAAATGTTAAGAACGACTCTAAATCTACTTGGAAAATATTAAGAGAAATCGGTGGAAAACAAAAAACTTTCTTAGGTTCCCTACCGCAGGTGATTAGAGTGATTAGAGTGATCGCAGGTGATTAGAGTGGATAACAAAGATATTTTTGAATCTGATTAATAGCTCATAAGTTCTTCATTGATATCGGTTCCAAACTGGCAAAAAAAGTTCCTAATACACAAGTTGTGTTCAATAACTTTTTAACACCGATGGATGATTGCGTTTGCTCCAATAAATAATTTTCTGAGCTATCATTTGAGGATTTTTAAGTGTCTTTTATATATATTAAAAAACAAAGCCCCTGATAAAAATGATGAAACAAATGGAAGCATAGTCTTAGAATGCTTCGAACAATTAAAAGATATTCTCTTTAAATTTTCTTCAGAAAAAACTCCTTTTTCAACTCTAGAGTTAAACATGGAGTTTCTCCTGATCAGTTAAAAATAGCTAAGATAATCCCAATATACAAAGAAGCAGACAGAACTATTATAGAAGGAGACAGAACTAATATATATGTTATTACCGACTTATCTCTATTTTATCAACATTTTCCAAAATTTGTTTATATACTTATTTTAAGGAGAAGAACTTTTTTTATAAAAATCAGTTTGGTTTTAAAAAAGATAGTTCTGCTGAGCATGCAACCATCCAATTCGTCCGTAAAATCGCTAACTGTTTTACAAATTTATAATTCAGTTTAAGTATTTTTGTACATTTATTAAAACCATTTGATAAAATTAGAAAGTACTTGTAGATCTTTTTACTAATATGCAAATAATAATAAAAAAAAAAAAAACAAATCGAAAAAAAAAAACAACTTTTAACAAATTGTTCATTAAACTTTATCAAAAACTAGTTTTAGATTCAGATAGTAAAACAAAGAGTTTTAAATAGAGTTTTTTTTGTTCATTCTCTAGTATTTGTTCAACTTTTTGTTCAACTATAACATTTAATAACATTTGTTCAACTTTTTTGAAAATGAACAAGGTTTTGTCGAGTCATTAGGTTTAAGTTTTTTAAAAGTTAGTACATTTTTATTTAAAATGTATGAATTTTTGCTGATTATGCAGATAAAATTAAACAAAGTTTAAAAATTTTTTCAAATTTTTAAGAATTATTTGATGTAAATAATAGTTTGTTTGCAAATAAAATCAATAAATTTTATTTTTTTCAAATTTTTTCTCTTTGGTGAACTACCTTAAATTGAAATAATCATAAATAAGAAACCGATCGGAATAAAATTTTTCAATTTTATGAGTTATCATTTTTTTTTAAAACACTAAATTTTAATTTTTTTAAAAATTTATTTCAATTATAAAGAAAAACCAAAAACAAACGGTTGTATATAAAAACGATATTGGTTGTCCCTTCATTTAATTTTTAATTAAAAGGTTCCTAACCTTTCCAGATAATCTGCTTTATTTCTATTAGCTACATAAAAAATAAATATGCACAATTTTATAAGTTCTGTTAGTATTGGTTAAGTCTCCACCAATTGGAACATATTGCTTTTTTAATCCCATGTTATCCAATCATACATTTGTTAAGAAATATGTTTTGCAGGTGTTCAACTTTCTGTCTCCTCTAAATTATTTTACAAAACAAAAAAAAATGTTTTTCACCAGGCTCAGAATTTAATAAGTTACGAGAAATTACTAAAATTGTCTAAACAAAATCTAACTTAAAAATTTTTAAAAACTGATTCACTCTATTACACATTATCTTGATGCTTTCGTTAAGTCCGTCTCATTTTAAATGGTTTATAATAAATAGAGGAAGTACTGAACTTGGATTGTATGTTGATTTGTTTGTTACTTTATCTTTCTTTTATTTGCTATAATTGTTTTTGCCAGTTTGACAGTGAGTGTCCCTGTAATTTTTTTTGATGAGGCAAAATGAAATGTAATGGTATGAATGTATTTATTTATGACTTGTATTGTTTTTATTAGCTTTTACTGCAATTATATAAAAATTCTGAAACTTTTCAATATAACCTTTTCTTAAATCTTATTAACCATTTAACTTTTTTCAAATTTTCTTAGACGTTTTACAACTCCCAATTTGAATCTTACACTATTTAATTTTTTAACCTCAACATATGGATAAATAAATTTGACAGCATTTTAGTTTCTACTGTCATCATCTCGATAAATCTTTTGTCTTTGTTTTTTGTGTTTACATTTGTCGTAAAATTCATATTATATTTATACCAAAAACAAACACGCATCTGAATGTAGATTTTTTATGATCTTATCATCAGAACCTTTTACTTTTTTAAAAACAAAAGGTTACGACACTAGACTAAAAAAAAAAAAGTAAAACGAAAAATTACAATGAATTGTATTATAGAACTGAAGAATATGTAAAGAATAACCGTAATATTAAAAAGACATGATAAAAACTTTAATAAAACAAGACGTTCTAAATCAATTTATATTTTATAATTTAAAGAATATTTTAAGTTAATATTTTTTTAAAATGTCTCTTATCGCAAGAATGAAAATTTTAATTTATTCTTAAAAACAGAAATTTTAATACAATAATCAAAATTAAGCTAAACTATTTTATTTTAAAGGTAAGGTGCGCGAAAAGTATTGCAAAATTGGTTGAAGTATGAAATGGTTTATTTAGTAAATCATTATTTCTTATTTGAAGGTTTTAAATATGGATGGCAAAAATCTCGGAAATTTTTAATCCCGAGATTTTGGAGTTGAGAAATTAGTCTCCGGGAATTTCCGGGAATTCCCGGGATTGAATAAAAAAAAAACGCAATTGTATAAGCGTAATAAGAACTTTTGAATTATCAAAGAGGTAAAAATGATTAATTTAATGATATAACTAAAATATTTAAATCATTAATGAACCTAAAATTAAGCAAAAACATCTGATTTTTTAACTTAATTTTGTTATATTAAAATTTATCGAAGATGTTAACATTTAAAAATTAATTAACCTAAGTATTTCAAATTATAAAACAAAATAATATAATGGTATCTCAGCATAAATAAAATATAAATATATAGTATATATATAAATATACAGTATAAATAGATAGTATATAATCATATATTTTTTGAAGGTGATTTCCTCTTGTGCTACTACTTTCAAATAACAACTTTTCTATTTGAATTTTAGAAGATATACTTTCTACCCTTATAGGTAATGTTCGTATTGTTGCCAATTTTTTTTCCATATTTCATTTAATTGTTTGCTAATGGTTTTTACGTTATTATCAACATTTTTACGTTATTTTGTGGTTTGATAAAGCCTGGTTCAACTAAACATCGCAAACACTAGTTGTTATTAAATTTTTCGAATTTAAACGCTTATCAGGTTTTTCGTAGTTTTTTTATTTTGGGTACTTGTATTTGATACAAAAACTTCTGGCATTTTTGATGAAGTAATCTGGCCATTATAAAGATAATAAATTAAGCTACTTATCGGTGTTCTCCTCTATTTAACTCGGTGACTCAAAGCATCATATAACTGTTTTCCGATTTTAGATTGTTGTTGTTTTATTTTCACCGACATGAACTTTAATGCAATATCAGCTGAAATTAAAGTTGCGTCTCGTCGACAAAGTGCTTCAACAGTTGTTTTAACGGGAGTCAACAGTACTAAATCAGATATTATTTTGTATTTATTTTTGTTCATCTTGATTAAACCATCAATGTCGGAGTCAAATTCTAAATCTAGAATTGGATTCCAACATTTTAATACAATATTTCAACTTTTCAAACCGGTCTAGCATAAGCAACTAGCTGCTCCATGGGATTTTGCAACCCATGATTAAATGAATGACATTTCCAAACCCAATTTTCACGTACTTTTGTAAACAATATTCATTTTTGCTTAGGAACCTTTTAAATATTTTTACAATTTTCCTGACTATAATTATAACGGGATATTATAATTTGGTGCCTAATTTTAACTTCAGATGTTTCATTAATTAACAATGATTCATTTATATCTCGAATGTTATTTTCCTCTTCAGAAACGTAATCGCGATTATAATCATCATATTTTTCTTTATCATTGTTATTGCTATGAAAAATAGTTCGTGATTTTTAGTTTTTTATTATAATCTTTTCTTTCACATGATATGAACTCTTCCTCAAGTAACTTTGTTGTCCTTCAACCACTCGCAACTTTTCTTTTTAGTAAAAGTTAGTCACTAAATTGCTTGCGGGTTTATTTATTTAAATAGAATCTTTTTTACAAATAATTTTTTTTTTTAGATTGACAAGATTGCTTGTAGGTTTGTATTTTAGTTTTTTAATTTTTTTAATAATTTTTTTTAGTTTTGTATTTCATATGAAAAATTTGTTAAGACTAAAAAGTAGAAAATAAAAAATATAGGAAAAAAAATTTGCTAAAAACTATAATCTTTTTTGAACTAAAAAGTAAAAAATAAACATTTTGATTAAAATTTAATAGTTCAGTAAACTATAGATTGACAGGTCTGCACAAGATTTATTTAGAAACATACCTGTCAATCTTTAGTTTACTGAACTATTAAATTTTAATCAAAAAGTTTATTTTTTACTTTTTAGTTCAAAAAAGATTATAGTTTTTAGCAAATTTTTTTGCTATATTTTTTGAGGTTCCTCTTCTAATTCTTTCAAAGTTAAAGTTGTCGTGGATGAACTTTGATGCTTGAGATTGCAACGTTACTTTAAGTAACGTTGCAATGTTTTCACGGACAGTAAATGAGAATGTAGACCTTTTGTGGAACAACCAGCGATTTCCAATACTTTTTTGCATGTACTTACTTTACACATTGCTGTTTCATCTGTTCCTTTTAAGTAAGGAATATATGGGATTTGCGCTGTTGAATTCAGCGTAGTTTGTCATGATCTTTACATAGGTTCTATTAAAAAAAAACAATAAGTATATTTTAACAACTTTTACCCATAATTTCAACTTACTAATTTTTTATCAGACTTATCATTCTAATTGAGTTTATGTAAATACAATTTCTACTTTGAATAACTATAAATAAAGTTTATTTAATAAACTTTTTGTATTTTGTTTACTTTATTAATTAAACGGGTTAAAATTGATTGATATTAAAATCGCGCACACATTTTTTTTTCTTTAGTCATCTTCATAATAAACAATATTTTTTTGAGTTAAGATGTGACGGGAACAGGCAGAAGACAAAAGTCTTATCATCCAGCCCCGTTGTATCATTTACAACGTGTTAAACTAAAAATTATCTATCATGAATTGAAGTTGTAGTTTTACTATTATTTTGGAGGAAGAATTCGGATTGTTTTAGCAAAGTTTTTGGTACCTGATAATTAAGCAACAAATGCTTTGTTTGATATTTATGATCTATGATAAAGAAATTGGCTTTAAATCATTCATTAAGGTTATCATCATTCATAGTAGTAAAGATTGTCTTAATGTTAGAGTCAGTATAAAAACTTTAGTGTTGTCAGCAAAAAGATTGAAGTTTAGTATATTAGATGATGAATAAAAATCGTTGATACAAATAATAAAAAATAAAGGGTCTAGAATAAATCCCTGTGAAACTCCGTACGTGATGTTTTCTAATTTAGTGTAGGTCTTGTCATAAAAAACACATTGTTTGCGATTTTTATGATAGGAACAAAACCATTTAAAATTATTATTTTTGACTGCATAACTTTTAAGTTTGTAAAGAAGAATATCATGGCCCACTGTATCAAAAGCCATTGAGAGGTCAATAAACACTCCAAGAGTATATTGGCTGTTCTCAAACCCATTTAATATTTCTTTAACTAATTTATTTACTGCATGTTCTGTCGAGTACCCTTTTCTAAACCCGTACTGATTATTATTTAGAATTTTGTGAGTTGTGAGATAGTTAAAAAGCTTATTATGCATTATTTTCTCTAGAATTTTAGAAAAACATGGGAGTATTGAAATAGGTTTGATGTAATTTCTTTAATTTTGTTAATCTGCTGCTCAGCATGCTCAGACTGACTTCCATCTTGCATTGATACCGTCTGCACTTTAACTTTATAGAATGTACTATTTAACCACATTTGTGTCTTCATTTTAGACTCTATCGTGTGTCTTTACTTCAGAATATCGTTTATCTTCTCTTCAGAATTTTTTTTTTGAGTTGTTGCTGGAAATTAGACTTAGCTAATTAAATCGTTATGAGATGTAAATACAGAGACCATTACAAACATGGAGTTACAAAGAATATATAGAATTACAAAGAACATCGATTTGTATAGATGAAATACTAAGTATATATGTAAACACGGGAAAAAAAGATGTAATAAATACCTGACCGAAATTCAGAAATCCTGCTAAAAAGATGCCGAATTTGCAAACTTTTTGCCGGATTTGTAAAAATTACTAGAGTTCGGCCAGAGCAGGAGCCGAAATCCGTACACCCCTAATAAGTATTATAAAATAGCTTAATTTGTAGCTTAATATATATTTGACTTTATCGCCAGTTAGCATGGGGAGTAAAAATGACGCCTTTAAACGTCTTTCAAATGTTTTGAACGTCTTTCGAACGTTTTGGAAAACTTTTGAACGTACAAAAGACGTCTTTTTAAGTTCCCGTGCCCTCTGGGTCATTATCATTTTAAATGTTTAAATATAAACTATTTTTGTTTAGGTCATGGAAATAGATATACGCAAAGTAATATGCCAATACTTTTTATCTTATTCTGCAATGCATAAAATTACAGCGTTAATAATGGAGAAAGTTCATTGGTTAATGATTTTTTTGATATTTATTCCAAACTTCACTCTAATTGCTGCTCTGTATGCTTCCAGTAAAGGAACTCTGCTTTATCAAGAAAAACTCGTAATGCTTTTATCAGCCGTAGATTTAACTGTTGCGGTTGTTCAAACACCACTTAAAATTCTTATTACCACATACTTAGATAATATGAAATGCTTTCAAGTTGCCATAGCAGCATTTTGGCATTTGTTTCCAACTATGTTTTCCTGCTGTGTTGTTGTAGTTATATCAGTTGAACGCTATTTAACAATTGTACATAACAACAAGTGGCATGGAATTCAAATAAAAAATATTCACTTAACATTTGTTGTCTTCTTATTTTTTACAATAAGTATTGCATTGAGTTTATGGTTTGCAATATCTATTGCAACTAGTTCCTACGAAAACTTTCCTTATATCTACTCATCTATTGGATCTGTAACATTTTTTTATCTAATTTTTGTTACATTTACAAACATCAGCTTGTTAACTGGTACTAAAGAAATAATGAGAAGCTGTGACATCAATATTCAGAGAAACAAAATGTTAGAAAAACAATTAAATAAAACAATTGCGATGATATCAGTTACACTTGTTGTTCTCTACTTACCTACCGTTGTAGCAATGCTAATTTTAGTTGCTGCGCTCAAAACAGGAAATGATCTAATAGAAAATATCAGCATTATACTAATGAGCTGGTCACTTCTTTTATGCCAAGCAAATTCTATGATAAATTCCGTAATTTATATTTTAAGATGTCGAAAAATTAAAAACTATTTTCTATATAAAATTTCAAATGTATTTATAAGAAAAAAAAAAGTATCAGCATAAAATTTAAGTGAAACTTTAAAAAATATAAAGCCATTCAAACACCAGTGTTGTTGGGAATCAGTCATAGGTAAATAAAACATTTTGAAAATTTATAACGTAATCCTTTAGATAATAATCATGTCCTCTACCTGCTTCAATCAAATATTAATTAATAATAAAAATCACCAGTTTTAAAAAACTGTTTTGTAATCAGTTTATAAAATATTTGAAATAATTTCTCTAACCACTGCGCCAAGGCTGCCTAATTGGCGTAAAGCTGATTAATTGGCTCTTTTTAAGGCACCATAGAGACTATTTCATAAATATATATATATATATATATATATATATATATATATATATATATATATATATATATATATATATATATATGTATATATATATATATATATATATATATATATATATATATGTATGTATATATATATATATATATATATATATATATATATATATATATGTATATATATATATATATATATATATATATATATATATATATATATACATGTATAGATATATATATATACATGTATATATATATATATATATATATATATATATATATATATATATATATATATATATGTATATATATATATATATATATATATATATATATATATATGTATATATATATATATATATATATATATATATATATATATATATATATATATATATACATATATATATATATATATATATAAACTTTGAAAATTAAGAATATTATTAACAACAACTTAAAAAATATATATATATTTTTGATGATTGTCACAAAATATGTGATTTAATATCAAATTTAGCTATTTTTAATAACTAAATTATAGTTCAAATATAGTTAATTTAATATTTTTTTTTGACGAACATCATGATCCAATTAGGTGAAGACGAACATTTTAAAAGTCCTGAGTTTTTGCAAAACTGTAAATAAGAAAAAAAACTAAAAGAGCAATAATATTTTGTTAGTATGTTTGTTTTATGTTCATAGTTGCACCATTTTGTTAGTATGTTTGTTTTATGTTCATAGTTGTACCATGGTTCATTGGTTCAATGGTTCATTGTTTTATCGTGATCTGCATGAGTTTTAAGTTTGCTAGTAGAAAAATTTGCAACAAAATTAAAAACGTGATTGGGCAAGACGAATAATGCGTTTTCTGATCTCTTACTATTTAAAAATAGAAAAACTAATATATCTAAAGTATCACAAAACAAATAGGCGTCACAAAAAACGTTTAAAAGACCAATTTTAGGACCAGGACCAATTGCTGGCTGGGACCCAATGTTTCTAACCATAATATATTTTTTTAAGCCCCAAGAAATATAATGAAAGTTAGTTAAAACTGTAGTAAAGTTTTATTTTTAAAACATCATTAAACAATTTTTCTTAAAGATATTTTCTAACTTTAAAATCTTTGCCACGATTACTAGTAACATTACCCGGCACTGTAGGTTTTCTGACCCCTGTTGGCCTACTAGTATTCAAATTTAACAGCGGTTTAAAATAAAAAAATCTTTGAAATTGTTACGCTATGGCTTTATATTGTGTTTTCCTTTGTATTTAAACAAGCTTCTAGCGTTATTTATTATTAAAAACACGATTAGTTTAGGCTTTAAAATACCTTTCGTCTGCGTTTTAAGCTTGCAAATGCAGATATAATTCATTTCAGGTCAATGGAATCTAATACCCGGTTTTCTATTTGAACAATAGAAATATTTGAAAGACGTTCTTGAAAAAAATAAGCCATTCGTTCATTTGGTGAAAGTTAAGATCAGTAGGATATCGTTCAACAAGTTATTTTGCACTGCAAGTACCCTCCAAAATATCCATGCTGCTTAGATTTACAAAAAAATCAAACAGAGAATTCAATCCAGCATAGGATTTCTTTTTTTCATCTTGATCATTCATTAGTTTGTCCGTGATCTTATTAACGTCTGCAATCATTTAAGATCGCCTTGAAAACACTATAGTTTCCATAGTGTTAATTTCATCATTGTAATGTCTCTTGAGTGCTCTCGGGAGTCTCTGAAATTAGACATATTCATCCGTGTTGACCAAAGACACGGCTTCCTTTTCATATTGCTTGAAATTGGAGCAAACCTAATGCACGTAATGGTTCAGGAAATAGTACAGTTCTTTAACTATACCCAAATCAAACTTTACAAACTGCAGTTTCTTGTTAGCTTTGTAACCATCCTATGTTTTTGTTCCAAATGATTATTAAAATAGCTGTCTCAAATTGTTCTATTTTTGTCAAAAGTCCGAAGGCCTGTACTCCTGGTTTTGCTCTCTGATTTTCGTTAATATCAAGAAAAGCCGCCTATATAGAAAATATTTGTAAATAAGTTTGTACAACCACAAATAAAATATGTTTTTATTTGATTTTCTGAACAATTCTTATTTACCGTGTAAATAGAATAACCCTTTTCAATTGCTAAACAAGCATCAGCACGAGCTGAACAACAAGTTTGTGAGTGAGTCTAGGAAACCTTAGCAAGTATTCGGGCAAGGAAATTTGACTTTTAAGATGCGTTAATGCGTTTATGTAAAGAACTTTGAATTTAAGATGCGTTGATGCAGAAAAGAAGTTATAAATTTCTTGAAGAAAGCCAAAGAAATTAACAGCAGCTTGGTTGGATTCTTTTGAAAGTTCTTTCCAGTTGTTAAAAAAATAAAACGTCCAGTTTGCAATACGTCCTATGCGCTGTTATTGCAGAAGTTAAAAATTTTTGGGACACGAGAGGAAGTCAAGGGTAAAAACCCATAATAATTTTTCTTTCAAATTATATATCTTTCAAATATTCACTACGATGCTCTGACCAAACAAGAATAATAGAATTGAATTTCAAGAAATAAAACCCGTTGAACAAAAACCTCACCTCAAACAAATTTTTTTAACGAATAAAGAAAAATTTGAAAGTTTCTTTTGCATAAAGTTTCAAAAGTAATAATTTCGTAAACTTTTTATTACTATGTTTTATTTATATATCAGTTGCTATTGCATTGTTGTTATGGAGCATATATTTATATTTATTTATTCAGTCATCAATAATTATTATTTACAAATTTATTGAAATCATGCACAGTAAAAACAGTTCGTGGTAAGAATTTATCTAAAATGCATATTCTATTTTTTGACGGAGAGAGAAAAGGACCCCTTTTTTCTGACAAAATTTGCAATTATAGCTGTGTCAGCCAAATTGAAAAGCGTGAATAAACTGTACTATTAAATTCTACATTTAAGACAGTTGAGTGATGGTGCGTTTACTGTGGTAGTTAATAAGGAATTCTAGTTTTTAACAACTCGATTAGTGAAAAAATTACGCTTTTCATAATGTTTCATTTTTTTTTCGATCGCAGTTTAAAGGTATGGCTCTTTATTCTTAAACTATACTTAGATCGACGATACGCAGGTGTGATTTGTGGCGCCACAAAATTGATTGAATCAATTCCATCATTTATTTTGTAATGTGTATATGGTGCTGTATACACGTAAGGTGGTTTTTAAGGGTAGTCAAATGGAACCGTTTTAAACGTTCCTCGTATTTTAAGTGACTTATTGAATTAATCCATTTTGTGGTATCATATCTCCTATGAAATTTGGAGATCATGCTAGGACGGTTAATTCTAATAATGGTCGAATAGAAGTAGTATGTAGAAAAAGCCAAAGAGTTAAACCACGACTTCTGAATCCTTTTTTAAATATCTCGAAAACTCTATTTCCAGCTACAATTGCTTGCTCAGCTTGTAACTTTACTTTAAGATTATTAGATATTATATCCTCAAATTGCATTCTTTTGCTGTGTTTTTTTGAGTCGTTTGCGATGATTATTTTGTGATTCCATTGTATATATGGTTTAGCTCTTTTTTTTTTTGCCTACCTGTATTACTTTACATTTTTAATTATTAAATGATTTTAGCCATTTTTTAGACCATTTAAGAGCTGTGATAAGATCTTTTTGAAGACTTAGTGCATCTCTTTCAGACTTGATAATACCCTTGATCTTGCTGTCGTCTGCTTACATTTTTATATGATTCAAAATTAAGTCCGGTAAATCGTTAATGTAGAACACAAAAAGAAGCGGAGCCTAACCCTTAAGTACTCCGCTGAACACTTTTTTCCATGGGGATAACGCATTATCTATTTTGATACGTTGTTCTCTATTTGTTAATCAGTTTTTTATCCAGTTATATAGTTAACCGTGAATGCTATATGCTTTCAGTTTATATAAAAGTCTTTCGTGCGGTACCTTATCAAACACTTTTGAAATATCTGCATAAATTACGTCTACTTTAAAACCCTGATCGATGGTAACTGTAACAATATTCCGTGATTCTAATAGGTTTGTCGTGTACCCCCTGTGTTTGACGAAGCCATACTGAGCTGGAGTAATAAGTTTGTTTTTGACACAATGCGGCATAATTCAATTGTGAATTTAACCTTTTAATACCTTTCATGGTACCGAGGTTTTGAAAACTTGCCGGTAGTTGCTTGCCTTTTCTAACTACTTTAATAACCTACTAACTTATTTGATTATATGTGTAACTTCTTCTTTTCTCCATTTATCTGGAACAAAGGCTGTTAAAATAGAAGACTTAAATTAGATGATTAAATGGGGAGAAAAATCTTCTGCGCAGTTTTTCAAGACTCTAGGATGAATTCCATGGGCACCTGTTGCTTTTGAAAGATCAAGTCTCAGCAATCTGTGTTTGACTATTTCATAAGTGATTAAATTAACTCCTTTATCGCAAATAGTTGGTTTAAAATAATTGGTAGTGGTCCTTGCGGCTCTACTTCAAATACAGTATAAAAATAACCATTGAGTGTCTTACATATGTTAAATATGTTATCGGTCACCAATATATTGCTGTCTTCAAGTAAATAGATTTTATCGTTAACTTTGATTTTGCTTTTGACATTAGAATTGAGTCCTTTTGGGTTATGTTTAAACGAATAAATTAGTGCATCTTCGTACTTAATTTTTACATTTTCCACCACTTTTGTGACGGTTTTTGCTTCTTTGTTATATTCTGCTCTAAATAGTTGGTACTAAATCCTGGTATTTAGTTGGTACTAAATCCTGGTACTGCTGACACATATTTGCCCCAGAGTTTACTCTTTTTTTTTACAGCTTCTAAGACCTTACTAGTAACCC